TTGACTGTTCAGAAAATGAAGAAGTATTGCCCAATATTACTGATTGTGAAGCTCCTGTATCTCGGAGTATTTTAATTGGAACATAAACTGGTTGACGGTTGGAGTTAATTGTGACATTATCATCATGAATAAAAGGTTTAAAACTTTTCATATCACTGTCACTGAAATCTTTGTGCTTGGTTGCTATGATATGGTGTAGTGTTTCATGCAATAATGCTTTTTTCGGATTCTCCTGTGCATTTTTACGAGTGGCTTTGTGTACAGATTTATTTGTGTTGTATATATTTTGATCGGATCTTGAAACAATTCCCTTCAGTTTTGATGGTGGTCTGTTCGATTTCAACAAATAACATTCATATTTTGTGTGTCCTTTTCATTTGCAATAATTGCAAATTACTTGTCGAAATGGGGAATTACGGGTGAATATTGCTTTCCTTGGTATTACATGCTTTGGAAATTTTGTTTTGTTTGACTTCCATTGCCTTGTAAGTTTTGTCTGCTTTGTGCGTAATTGTTCCCAAACCGCGATGAAAATCGTGACGAATGTGTTTGTTTTCCATCAAGTGTGTTTTGAGTGTTTCTTTGTGAAAATAGATGTGGGTTAATTTTAACTGCAAATTAATGAGTAAGCGAAAAATTATCAGCAAGATGGGCTGCTTCACTAAGTGTCTTAGGATATTGCTCTTTAAGGAAAATTCGTGTTTTAGAGTGGATACAATTTTTGAATTCTTCCATTAAAATTAACTGCTGTAAAGTTTTAAAATCTTGAACTTTTTCCGATGCTAACCATCGATCGAAAAGTTGAGCTTTTTGTTCAGCAAATTCTAAGTGAGTAATATATATATTTTTGCTAGTAGCACGCATCTTTTACGAAGTCATAATCGCATCTTTTACGAAGTCATAATCAGCAGAATCAATTACAGATATTTGAGAAAAAATTTCTCCAGCTTTTCCTATCAAAACGCTTTGTAAAAGCATGGTCCAACTTTCTTTGGGCCATTTACAATTTTCGGCGACGTTTTCAAAATGCAAAAAGTACTTGTCTGCTTCCGATTCCGGGAACGGTGGAACCATTCTCACATGCTTGGTTATGTCAAAATTTGTTCTGGAATGTTCAGCGTGTGTATTTGTGGCTTGAAGTTTTAATTTTTCTAGTTCTATCTCCTGTTCTCTTAACTTAAACCACAGAATAGATACATACAGAAGCGCCACTCAGCAAAAAATCTGTCGCCTACTTGTACCCAGTTCTTAAGTGCGCATCTTTTGCATCCGCCATTACTCCAGCCAGATAAACTGGCCAGAATGTATATAGATTAGTATTATGGAGAGTTGTTTTTCATAAAATTGATGGGTTTTGATTCACATATGGACAACAATTTTAATGCCTTTAAGCAGGATATAAAGGAAATAAGGTAAGAAATAGTTTTAATAAAATATACGTTCGTCAATCGTATTCTACGGGTATTATAAGTTTCTTTCATTGAATTGTATTGGTTACGAGATCAATGTTTTTACAACGAGTATGCTATTGAAAGGCAATTTGTTGAGTCATGCTCATAAACCACAAAAAACATGTTAAGGAAATAGTATGTGCATAGTTTAGTTTATCAATGTATCCGTTCCCACACGGATAAGAGCCAAGGAACAGTTATTGACGTTAGTTAAATTTCCTTATGTACCATATATAGCTTAAAGTGCCTATGACATGTTTTCGAAACGATGATATTATAATAGTTTAGATGATTTCAAGAACATTTGCAATATATTTTATAATTGAAAAATTTCATCTTTGTGGAGTTTGAGCACCTTAAAGTTGCGGATTTTGAACATTTCTTCATATTGACCGTGAGAGTAAAAAGACTGGTAATTAATAATGACAAATGGCCAGTGTGACGTCACATCGGGAACGCATTTCTGCTATTCTATAACGTTAGTATTATAGCAAACACTAAAAGATATATTTTTTAAGAAGTTTGCTAAAAAAATTTTCCGGTAAGATGCCACACAGATGCTTCGTGTTTGGATGTTCAAACACATCAAATTCGAAGAAGGGGATTGCTCTCCATAGAATCCCATTTGTGAATGATACCAGACCAGAAGCTAAGAAACGTAGAAAAGCTTGGGTTGATTTTGTCAAAAGAAAACGAAAAATTGGGTAACTTCTGTCTTCCGAAGTTTGCTCTAAGCATTTTAAAGAGGATGACTTTGTGTGTCGCTTTACTGGTGAGATGGGAGTGAGTAATTGGATACACCACTGCTTGTAGCTCCCACACTTAAGAGGGATAATATTGGCATATGTGTCTGGCCTTCAAAGCTTAATGAAACAGAAACCGTGTTATCAGAACGAGATCGTCGTCGCATTGTGAGTTTTACATATAAAAAAATCTATTTAAGGTTCTCATTTCATTTATGTGTTGCTAACTTAGGAAGTAATTTCACAAAACTATTGATATAGGTATTTCACGCTCGGTGTGCAAATTACGAAGAGTGCAGCGTGAGTCAAGAAGGAAGCAATTTCCAAAATATAGAATCTTCTCAGCCTTGCACTTCTTTAAATAATGTATCTGCTGAAAATACAGATGAATGTATGCAAACAGACACTATGACTTTCATTGATGAAACTGATAACAGTTTTCATGGACCACTCAAAGATCCTGGCAAATCAGCACATGTAAGTTTGATTAGCTCACTTTGAATGAAATTGAAATGAATAGAGTTACGTCTTCCAACAATGACAATATTTCTTTGCCGAGCAATTTACCCTACATTAATAACTGCTTAGCAAATACACTGATTGGGCTATTATCAATGCTGTTTCATTAGAGCAGTTTACCACAAGTGTAAATTCAAGTTCCCCTCTTAAGAAATATTTAATATTCAAACTAAAAGTATTTTGTAAAAATATTATTATACACCTTGTACTTTAAAATTAAGAAAGTGTGGTTTATTTGAAGGAGTGGGTAAATGCAAATGACAAGTGGATCCAGACATTGCCACTGAAATGTCAAAACTGTGTGAAACTGACTAGCAAGCTGCTCCAAATGAAGAGAAAGATGCTGTTTTATAAAGCTCAAATGAGATTTGGTATGCTATTGTATAATGTAATCAATATTAGGTGAAAAATAGAATAAATTGTATCAGTTAGGGAATACTGATCAAATTTAATGAGCTAATATATAAACTCAAATGATTATGTAAATTGGCGAATTAAGTTATTTTTCAGATCATGTTCCAGAAAATAACATCTATGATTCTGCTCATCATTCTGATATAATTGATGAAGATAATGCGGAGCACATGGATAGTGACTCTGGGGATCAAGAATCACAAGATTCCAATACAGATGAGGAAACTGAGGATGAACTTTCAGCAAATGTAACATCAAGTGAAGAAGGCAGTGATACAGATTATTCAGATGGAAAATGGTAAAACTCTTTATGTTACTACATGCTAGATAGCAGTCCTCATTGATATATGATAAGGGTTGTTTCTGTTGCAGTGTTTATGCAGCAAGTGATAGCAACCTAAGGAAGCAACCAAAATACATAGTTTTTCTGTCACAACTAATGAAACTGTTTGAGGTTTGCCCATCCTGTAAAGTGCCTGACGTCCTTATGGAAATGAAAGAATTTGGAACAATGATTCAAGTAGAGACAACTTGCAACAATGTCCATTGCAAACAACGGAGTAGTATTTGGTCTAGCCAACCCAACATTAGGATTGCAACGTCAACAATTCCTGCTGGAAACCTACTTCTTTCATTTGGAATTTTGAGTGGAGGTGGATCTGCCAGCAAAACTTTAAAAATATTCCAGCACATGGGATTGCGGTGCATTTCATTGCGATCTTTTTTCCGACATCAAAATGTATGTGTGCAGTTTTTTCAAATATGAATGCAAAAATTTGCATCCATTGTTTGTTAATGAACATGTGCTTTTTCTAGGATTAATTTTTTCATAGGTTTCTAATTTTTTTCAGACCAAGCTGTTTCCAAGCATTCATTTACATTGGAAAAAGTACAAAGAATCATGGAATTCAACATTAAAGAAAATGCAAGACATAGTTCTTGCTGGTGATGGGCGCCATGACAGTATGGGCCATAGTGCAAAATACTGTGCATACAGTATGTTCTGCTGCAATGGACCCATAAGTAAAATTGTAGATTTTTGTTTAGTGCAGGTATGTAAAAGTAATTTAAGAATACCTTTTCCAAAGCACTGATCATTTTTTTATATTGTTTAATTTTTTACGACTCTTAGAGAAATGAAGCTGGTAGCAGCCCAGCAATGGAGTATCTGGCATTCACAAAGGCATTGGAAGGGCTTTTACAGGATGGTTTGAGTGTGTCAACCTTTATTTCAGATCGTCACACTTCTATTTCAAAACACATGAAGGAGAAGCTTCCTAAAATAACCCACTACATTGACTTGTGGCACTTGGCAAAGAGTAAGTAATAACTGTGTTTATAATTTTATGTGTCTGGCTTAGCTTTAAAGATATGTGCATTTTTTTCTTGTTTTAAATCAGAAGTCAATAAAATTCTTAAAAAAATTGGGACAGAAAAAGATTGTCAGGAGCTCCTTCCTTGGGTGAAGCCATGCGTGAATCATTTGTATTGGAGTGCAATGTCAACGGAAGATGGTAATGGACAGGTCATATGGGCTAAGTTTTCATCATTCTTGGAACATATGGCCAATGTTCATTCCAATTTCTCCAATCCAATTTTTAATGCATGTGCTCATAGTGATGACATTGAGGAAAGGATGTGGCTTGATAAAGGTATGACCTTAAAACAATGAACATGATCACTGCTTAAAATGCTTTTGACATCTTAATGCAAAATGTTTTTGTATAAATTTTCTAGAATCAGTTGTGTATGAGAAAACACAAGCTGCTCTATTGAATAGCACGCTAAAAGGGTATTTCTCAAGCATCACCACTTTTACAGACCAGCTGCTTGGAAGGTTTTCACTCAGTGTTAAACCATTTCTCCAAAATGATTTCATACTCATTTGCAGGAATGTATTGCAGGTATGCAAATAAATTAAGAGTACATAAATGGTAAATACATAACTTTATTCTTTGAGTTTTTCCTGTCTAGACACATTTTGGCTGTTTTGCATTTCAATGATAACTTGAGGAGGGATGAGCTGGTGATGAAAGGCAAGAAACAACTTAAAGTGGTATATCCAAAATTTAAAAATGGTGAAGCTACTGTGAGAAGTGTCAGAGTTCATCAAAATTTTGGTGAGATATGATTTCAAATACTACTCAAGTAAATAAATACAGTTGTAGTAGAGTTTTAGAGGTGTTAAAAATGCAATTTCTGTTCCAAAAATTGTGCATCTTTGTCTAGATTATATTAATGAACTTTATAAAACAATGATGAGTGCTACCAAAGAACAATTTCAAAAGGCATCTGAAGAACTGTCAAATATGTCTCCTGCACCAATGCATACCATGTTTGTTAGACAATCAAAAGCAGAGGCAATTAAAAAAAAGATCAATCGTCAAAAAATGGTAGTTGAAAATGTACCACCCACCAACGGTATGACTAAAACATACTTTATTAATTACTTACAGTTATGATGTCTAATATTACAATCTCAAAATTATAATATTTTAGTCCCATTAACAATGTCAGAAAATACCATTAATATAACAAGAACTCGTCCACACTGTCGAACTTGTGGGAAACCAATGAAAGGTCACCAACAGGTCCTGGACTGTCCACAAAACAAGAATCAAAATGAGGGTGAATCATTGGCATATAAGTAGTAAATTATTTATCCTCAAATTCTTCATCATCATAACCCTGAAAATCTTTTCCCACAAATCGAGTCCTTATTGCATGATAGGCACAAGCAGGTAGTGGTATCCGTTTATTCCCTAAGTAGCCATGCACCAGCTGGGTAAATTCTCGATATGCAACACTTCTCAAATATCTAAATTTGCAAAATAAATCTTTGTCATAAGTTATTACATGAAACAATTTAATTGAACTAAATGAAAGCATACAGGTATGTACCTGTTCTCATCATCATGCTTCACATATTTTCTTCCATCTATTTTTCTGAATTTTGGGCCTGACATTCTTAATGACCAAATATCCAGACACACTGAATTGAATGCTGGATGAAGTGTAATGCATTTTGGGACAATTTTCAATTCATCCAGCACCATTTCATTCTTTAAGGACTCTATGCATTCGTCGAGCTCTTGGCAACATTGACTTTCTTTCTCATTTTGAAGCAGATTAGTTCTGCACTTACCACAAATGCACCTACAAATACAAAGTAGCATTTGTTCATGTTGCAATATAACTACTAGTTTAAATTGACAATGCTAACAAAAAACGCAGCACAATAATCGCTGACTTTGTGTGAAGTGAATTATGGCCCGTAACTTGTAAATATTTTAAAAAGGAATAAATACACTCACCACTGCTCCAAAGTCACACGATTGTTGAATCTACTACGCAGAGTTTCCAACAAATTTTGACGTTCACGTAATCCGTCATGATAATTTTGAACCCATTCTTCATCAGCAACAGGTTCATCTTGATAAGGCAGCATTTGTGATTCAATAGACTGTTCAGAGACATCAAGAGAGTCACTTTGATTATCCGTGGTAATCAAACTTTCTTCAGATTCCATCATGTAGTTTAACATTGAATCATTATCTGATTCATTTTGTGTTTCAATGGAATCAGAAGAGCTCGAGGCCATTTTTAATATTCCTGATGCACAATTTAAAACACTTTTGTTCGACTCAAGTTGTAATAAATTTCGAATCCGTAGTATTATATACTATAATGTGTTTTCTTTGTTCGGGAAAAGCGTGTTCCCGATGTGACGTCAGATCCGGCGTTTTTCCAAGTTCTCGCCCTAGGTCTTTTGACATCACGGACAAGCAATAAATAACCAACTTAGAGCCATCCAAAATTCACGAAGATGAAATTTTTCAATTATAAAATATATTGCAAATGTTCTTAAAATCATCTAAACTATTATAATATTGCGTTTTTGAAAACATGTCATAGGCACTTTAAACAGAGGAACTACTCCTACCAATAATAATATTTGTTGTTTGTAATAAAGACTATAAATACTGCTCTGTAAAATAATGAAAATCAGTTCTATCATTAAGTTCACTCGTGGTTGTTACTGAAGGTATAGAGTATACTAAGAAAGAGATATGGCGAATAACTCGAACTCAACATAATTTCCCTGTAGATTTGTCGTTTAGGACTAATAAAGGTATTTTTTAATGTATTTTGCCTTATTATTTTTCTTTTTATTTTCTACAAGAGATTTTCTTAATAGAATGGTCAATGATATATAACTAAATAGCAGAAATTACACGACCTACTGTACACGAAGAATGCTGTTGTGATGAAGACGCAGCTATTTTAGAATATGGATGACTATCTTTATAAAACATTAAAGTACTTTGATGTTTGAATTCAAGTTTTTTGACTTGTTATTTTGCATTGCATCTGCATCATTGTAAATGAAACTTTGTAATTTCATCTTGTTTGTTAAATCTGTATATGTTTAACAATAAAGTTGTTTTTTAACTCATTTTTTAATAGAAAACTTGGAAAGTTTTTGCTGTGCAAATTTGCATGTTTAATTAGTAACCAGGACCATCATTCATTTTGTGCTGGAAAGCTATACAGTTATTGCAAGGTTTTTATGTGCTACTCTCTGTGTGTCATTCATACACATATATTTCATGGCAAAAGAGAAGAAACTAAAAGGTGGATCAAGAACTCATTGTGCTGCCATCAACTGCACACAAAGCAAACAAACTTGTCCTGATTTAAGTTTTTTTCGTTTTCCAAAGGATATGGAGAGGTAAGGGTATTTTTTGTTTGCAAGTCTTATGGATGTTTTATTTAATGCGGCATGGGCAATAAAGTTTTTAAGCATTTCTTTGTATTTTAGATCAAAGGAATGAGTAAACAATTGTCGTCGTGAAGATCTTTTGGGCAAAAGTGCAGAATATCTTTACAAGAATTGAAAACTGTGTGCAGATCATTTTGAGGACTGCATGTTCACCAGCATGGAAAAGAAGAGATTAAATCCTCAGAGTAAGCCAACTCTATTCAAAATTCCCAATCCTCCACCCCAAATTGGGAAAAAACGAAGGGCAATTGAAAGAAAAGAAATTCAATATGTTCCATCAGGTAAATAAGTAATTTTTCACATTTTATTTTCCAATAGATTTCAAGTAAGTTTAAATAAAACAATGAAACACTATTTTTACAAAAAAATGAGGAAAAGAATTCTTAAAAATTATTCACATAATTCACTTGGCAAGCAACATAGAATGAAGTAGAATTGCGACAACCCCACACCAATACAGTTCACAAGAGCATTTCGAAAGTTGTTTTTTAGTGCGTTTCTTAGTTGTTTTTTAGCACGCATTGAAGGCGGCTACGCAACAGTGCACAAAGCAGATGATAACTTTGCAAGCTGGCTTGATGAGACACACATGGAGGTGTGACCATACGAAACTACTACTAGTGCGCTTCTTACATCATCAAAAGCCAACTGTGCTAAAGATATGGATGCCCTCTTGGTTCAATGCACAACAGCAAATATATCAAAGCCAAAACATGTAGAGAACGTGCCACAATCCCATCCGAGAATTCTTTCAATTGGACCAGCAGATTATAGAGAACAGAATGTGACTTCTAACATCATTCAAGATAATGCTGTAGCTTATGTTGCTGGCTACTTGCTGAAAAAATCATTCAAGATGCACAGCTGTGATGAATGCAAGAGAATTTTGACATCAAATGATTTTGACAGTGATCAACAGCTTTTCTGCTAGTTCAAAGCATATGATAGTAAGAATTTTGGTGGGTTGAATGTCCCAGCTAGAAGATACCTGGAATACATAAAGACACTGGAAGATACTTTCGTCAATTGCTTTTCTGCTACAACGAAAAATTCCAACGTTGGGGCAAATATATTAAAAGTCCTCCAGGCAATTCCACCAGTTGATGTATGTACAGAGTTCCCACATGATTATTTGTTAAAGCTTTTTGTCGGAATGCGTATCTATTACGCGATCAAATTTGCAAATCGTGACTTTACCACCACCAAAAGGAAATGTCGGAAATATATAAAAGTCAAACATCTTTAAACTAAACGAAATTGAAGAATTTAATGCAGAGCAATTTTATTCACAGTCCAAGAAAAAACATAGACAAATAAACTGACCCTTACCTCCAGAACTTTGATGAACAGCCAGGACAGACGACATGTCGTCCGTATTCAAGTTCTACTTTGAATTTTTTTACAAACACTCAAACACTTATTTTTCAAATATGATATCGAATTGACTGGTAAGACATAGAAGACTCGCTGCGATTTACTGTCTCTACTCGAAAAACGCAAAAAACTGCCAATGTGCCGAACTATTTTAGTTTTTGGTTAAAAACTTGTCCTTGGCACTATAAATTACATTGCGATCTGGCTGCATTTATCTGGCCTGAAACATGGCCGCTGTGTAAAGTTCCCGGATGCTGGGGACACGAACATCAAAGGTTCCGACATCGAGTGGCGCTTCAAGAAAACAGTCCGTTAGGTGATGACGAACTTGCAGTCATACAAAAAATATACCGTCATGTTGCGTATTGAAGATGTTCGAGATGGATTTTCCATATTCTTGGCAAGAAATGTCGAAGGCCATTTCCATCTTGCATGTACAAATGCATACGAGGGAAGTATTGGTCATCTGATGCACTTTACACTCATTTCAAATATGCCAAGTAAATTGAAATTGGATTTGAGGTATTTGCGATTTCAAGGCTTTTAAATTTTCATCATATATTGTTGCATTTCATGGTTTGGCAACCACAACTTTCCGTACATGGACGATTCTTATTCCTACAATAACATTGGCTTGTAGCACATTTTCCCTTGCAAAGACATACTTTGTCATTTATTTTATCGTCGGGCAAAGCAGGCGTTGTAAATCTACTGTGTCTGCGAAGAATGACTTCATTTTTTGGCTGCCTTTGCTTCCCACACAAGTATGTTTCCACAAGTGAGGGAGGTTCTTTCGTAAGCAATGTTTTTGCATTCTCCAATGCTATTTTTGTGGTGTTGAAATCTTTGCGAAGTCTCAGACACTCAGTCAGAACATCTTGCACATAATCTGAAAATTTTAAATGTATTTTGCATTAACATTTTGTCATTAATGATTCTAATTTGTCTATTAATTCTTACTGTAGGTAGGACAGTCGCTTATTGGTTTGGCCACAGCTTTTTCTCCTTTGTGAGCTTTAGGGTATGCAACTGACCATCTTTTATCACCTTTTTGTGTTGTTGCTTGGGGTCTATTAGCATTTTCATTATAATGTAAATTTGCACAAAATAACCTGAAAAATTCACAATGGGTAACTGTATAGGCTAGAATAACACATTACTCTTTATTGGTCAAAGCAACCCTTTTTTAAAGTAAAATATGTGAGAAAAAATGCATGTTTTCACCTGGCCATGATTGAGTGATATGGATAGTATGTATTTTTTGATGCAAAAAGATTATCAAGTGAATGCTTTGCCTCCAAGCCTGATGTTTGTTGGTGACTTGACAACTTTCTAACTGCACTTATCAATCTTGGTCTTGAAATAAGTTCAGTTAGTTTCTTATGAGCTGCACTACCTTAAAAAGTATAAAGAGGTCAGTCTTATGAATAGATTGATAGGAAGCAAGATTATAATATACATGCAAATGCTTGAGACCTGTTAAAGAACAGGTGCCCGTGCACTTATTTTTTGTGTATAGTGATGAAGTCTCCATGAATGAATTGGAGCTAGATACTACCCTTTACCTTTTTTTAACCATTGCCGTTTAGTAGCTTCATGCAAGCATTTGGTAAACACCTTGTTGTCTTCATGAGTATGAATATCAGCAATGTGATTTGCCAAACTTTTCCACTTTTCTTCTTTTTCAATTTCAGTGCTGCTGGAGCTTGCCACCCAATACAAATGATTTATGATGGACTGTTAGATAAAGTTTAAGATATAGCTACAAGTATCACTCATACTTCTCTGGAATGGCATGATATACATTTTTTAAATGTAGTTACCCCAATCCAAGGCTTAATTGCACAAAATTTCTTCTTTTTTGCAAGTTTAAGTAACCTCTTTTTCTCTCCTAAAAGGTTCAATTTAAATACATCATACTTAATCACATGATTCACAATTCCAGTGATTTGATCCACAACTGATGCACTTATATTTGAGTGATTAATACTTGCAAACAGAGAATTAGCTGCACCTTTGGCCACATGCCAAACATCATAAACATGTTCTATTTCTGGCTTCTCCTTAGCCATGTAAGATGTAACTTGGATGTGTCTGTCAGTCACAAGCTTGGTAATTTTAACATCACCATTTTCGAGGTATGCAAGTTGACGCTTGATGGATTCTAGCTCCATGGCGTTGGAATTCTTGACTTCAGTGCTCTGAGTATTGATAAAGTATAGAGAAATATCATACGAAAGAAGACTATATTATATCAACGGAATATTTTCAGACGATCATTATAATATGTTAATAACCTCTGTCATTACCTTTATGATCTGTGTATCAAGTATGACATTGTTATCGACGTCCAAAGAACTCCCGGAACCAAACAACCCGCTGTGACCTGGGCTATCTACTCGCATATCTGACGCAATACAGCAAGTTTGTCCTTTTAGTTTTTGTAACAATCTCTTTTTCTCACCACCCCAAACATTGAACATGGCAGGTATAACATACGCCGATTGCAATGTTGAAAATTCACGACGTGTGAAACATTTTATTTTCAATGCACTGAGAAGTCGAAGAACCTTAGCCCACTTGCGGTCTTGGGTTTATTTAATGTGGGTATAGCATCACCCTTTAGCATGGCTTTCTTTTTCCCCGAAAAGTTAATTGAATTTAGAAAAGATGGCGAACAGGATGGTATATAGGCATCGTTCTCAAAATGCAGAGAGCAAATAGTCGAGTTCTTTGTAGGTTTGTAACCCTTTCTTTTACAAAATTCAATCCAAATTTTTTCTCGTTTTTTTTCATCTGTATTTTTTACGCCGTTTGGGAAAGTGAAAAAATGAATAGAATTGTCAGAATTATTTTTGCTGTTACTGTAACATCCATATACTGCGCAGTACATGATCGCTGAAATCTTTCGCACAATCTGCCTTCTGCAATACGACTCTAATTCATCAAATTTGTATGACCAGTTCATACACCAATAACAACAACTTTTCCGAACTCCCGAACCAACGCTTGCAAGCTATATTTATGTATAATTTTCGGAAGTGGTTTTTGGGCGTCCACATATGACGCACAAGTTTACCATCCCGTTTCTACCTACATCCTACCGCAATGACGCATTGCGGTGAGGAAGTGTTCTCTTAACATGACTATACTATTTTACATCAACATAATATCCGTTATATCTTATAATCTATAATATGACACAGTCACACACTACACAACATAACATTACAATTTACAACAAAATCTGCTGTCTACAAAAATACAATTCTTAAAACTTTCTTCTATTTGTAATCATCTCTCAGACTTTGGCGAATATGTTTCATGAAGCTTTAGCTGTCATATTTGTTGATGTTTTTAATCGTCTACGATTTCCTACGAGTGGAAATGAACATGGACACGAACAAGCTCTGATACAACCATACAAAATGTATACTGAATATATAAATATATAACTTATTTTTCTTTATTTATTTCATTATATATATTGCATGTACATGATGTAAAAAAAAGTGTGAAAAAACGTTTTTTTAAGAATAATTCACAATGACTTCATCAAAACACATATAAAAGTATATTGTGTTACCAGATATGCCTCCCAGTTGTGACGTCATTGCATAAATCTGCATATCACATTATATTCAAAACAAATCAAAATGGCCGCGGAACTTTTAAATTGGAGTCAGAAAAACCTTTGTTACATGAAGACAAAAACTTTGGTTGAACTAACAAAGGTATATTATAAGTCTATGCGATATTTCCCGTTAATTAAGCCTAACTTAAAATATACGTCCCATGTCCTTTAACCCACACAAGACAAAGCATGTTTTGTCCGTTTTGTGGAAAGGAGTTGCTCGAATCTTATGCTTTTTGCGCAAATTGTGGCAAAAAATCAAACTATCTGGACTGCAAGTTTATCAGAGAAACCGCTTCATGAAAAGGAACGTATTCCGGTTACTTTCAATTATTTTAAGAAAAGAAAAGAAGATGAAAGAGCGAGGCACTTCAGACCATCGACTAGTGGCAGTGGCTACAAAGGGAAAGCAAAAAGGGCAAAAAGCACTGATGAAGATCTTAATGAAACTGTTTGGATAAATGTCGGCATTATGCTTTATGATCGTGAAAAATTAAAGATTCAGCGTGGGAAATCTTTAGTTCTATCCATACAAATATCTGCTAATGCTGAAAGCTTATTACAGGCAGCTCTAAACAAACATATGGCACATTCAAAAAATATAATTAAGCCTATGACGAAGTATGTGATGCTATACTCAGATGCATCAAAAGTAGCAAAGCTAAAAGAGAGTGAGGAAGATTTTGTTTTGCATAAATACAAGGAAGAATGTAATAAGCCATATCACAGAATTAATTTCTTCCTTTGCCCTGACATTGACTATTCTCTATCAAAATTAAAAGGATGCTTGAAGGATGATAACAGTAGCAGTGATGATACAGATGACGTTGAAGTAAGTAAAGAACAGTCTTACAAGTTAAACAACAACCATAGTGATCGTGAAAATAACTCAGTACCCATCCTAGTGAATGATGAACAGTATTTCAATGATAATGTAAATAGCAGTAACAATGTTGAGGATGTTGAACACTAACCAAAAGCCATAGTGATGGTGAAAATGTGCCAATAACATACAGTAATGATATGCTAGCAATGAAGTCACCGCCTATACCAATACATGATAATCAGCATGGGGGTGAAAAACTAAACAGTTTGACTTATGGTACTTTAAGTGAAATGTTTCCACAAATAAATGATCAAATTATACAAGAGGCTTTGCATAACAGTGAAAATGATTTCGAAATGGCTATAGCTTATATTCTTGAACTACAAAATCAGGAAACAACAGCACATCAAGTGTATGCTTCATTTGGATTCTGTAATAACATTAATGATGATACAGATTTTCAAGATAATGAAGCATCTCTATCTGATAACACGCAGGTTACAAAACCTGAGGAAAGGCAAGAAAGCATAACTACCAAGGAGTCTCTTTCTGGCATTGTCAAGAAATTTTCAAAAGATAAGATAAAAATTGATTCTACTCTTAGGATCAAGGTATGTTTTTCACCATGTGCCCAATTCATTCAACTTATTAAAATATTGTATGCACATTTATTGAACCTTATTTGATAATTTTTATCACCAGATGTTGGGCTTTAATGTGTTAAATCAAGGCATAAATTTTATTTGACCAGAATGGTCTAAGATATGAATATTACAGTTGTGATAGAAAGTTAATTATGTCTTAAAATTTAACATGACAGTGTCTTCTTTAATACATTATGCAGTTAAGATTGAAATATGTTCAAAAACCCATTTATTGTGTGCAGTAGTGCTTATGTAACATGCATGAATTGCTTACATCTTAATCATGTTAACGAGTGATAACTTTCCCGCGTAAAGTTTACTAACAGGTCGTTGATTGGGTGATGATGTAATTTAATTATGTTAATTATTTTAGAGGTGATATAAACACATTGACATTGTTGATTTATAGATGTAGAAGCACATATATTTTACTTTTGTATTTTGTTCATTAAACGTTTAAGCATATATCGCTTTCGTCTGCTCGGTGGGTGAATGTTTAATAGGTTATGGGCCCAGGACGTGTATGATTGAATAAAACGTGTATTTATGTCCTGTTGGTGAATATTTAAACGAAATACATCCAGATCGAAATGGCGACCGAGATAACGAGGATTGATAAACTGAATGGCAGTAACTATCAATCATGGAAATACAATGTAAAACTGGTGCTTATGTAAAACAGCTGAGGAAAAGCACTTTCGTTTTTTTGTAGTTCAGTAATATAACACCCTTTTCCTGAATTGCTTTATTGCTATAAATACTAACAATACAATTACTCAAAAGATTCTCTCTATTAGGACACTCATTCTAAAAATGTGAAAAAGGTGAAATTTTAAATCAGTTATATTAGTTCTTTATTACATATGGTTCTGCTGAGATTTGAACTCACATTTTTGGATTCAAAGTCCAAAGTGCTTACCATTACACTACAGTGCCTTACAATTGCTTCAGTTAAATTTTATTAATCAAATTTTTTATTTCTAAAGACTTTGACTTTGATTACCTTTTTTAGGGTTTTCATGTCATCTTATATTATTAGACAAATAAGATAAATATAGGGTAATTTCAGAATATTTTGTTTGTTTTTTTTTGTAAAATTAACTATTCGTTGTTGACGAATTTTTCTTTTTTTTAACAATTTATGTATAAAGTATTGTAACAGCTTAAAATCACTATTGATAATGCACATTAAATGAATTTAATTTTTTTTTAAATAAACATGTTTCAAAATTTCATGATGTTATCTAAAATCATGATGTTAACTATTGCAAATTTGTTGAAAAATTTTATTACATATGTTAAAAAGCATTTTAGTTTATTCCAAGTTTAATAATATAACACTTGTTTCCTGAATGGCTTTATTGCTACAAAACTAACAATACAATTACTCAAAATTTCTCTCTATTAGGACACTCATTCTAAAAATGTGAAAAAGGTGAAATTTTAAATCAGTTATTGTAGATTATTTTATTTGTTTTTTTTTCTAAAAATTAACTATTCGTTGTAGACGAATTTTTCTTTTTTTAAAAATTTAAATATAAAGCATTGGAACAGTGTAAAAGCACTATTGATAATGCACATTTAATGAATACAAGGTTTCTTAAAATAAACATATTTCAAAACTTCATGATGTTATCTAAAATCATGGTGTTAACTATTGCAAATTTCTTAAAAAATCTTATTACAGCTGATAAAAAGCACTTTCGCTTTTTACAAGTTTAGTAATATAACACTTGTTTCCTGAAAGGTTTTATTGCTACAAAACTAACAATACAATTACTCAAAATTTCTCTCTATTAGGGGACACTCATTCTAAAAATGTGAAAAAGGTGACATTTTAAATCAGTTATTTTAGTTCTTTATTACAAATGATTCTGCTGAGATTTGAACTCACGTTCTTGGATTCATAGTCCAAAGTGCTTACCATTACACTACAGAGCCTTACAGAAGCTTCAGTTAAATTTTATTAATCAAATTTTTTATTTCTAAAGACTTTGACTTTGATTACCTCTTTTAGGGTTTTGATGTCCTCTTATATTATTAGATAAATATAGAGTAATTTCAGATTATTTTGTTTGTTTATTTTGTAAAATTAACTATTCATTGTTGACGAATTTTTCTTTTTTTTAAAAAATTTATATATAAAGCATTGTAACAGCGTAAAATCACTATTGATAATGCACATTAAATGAATTTAATTTTTTTTTAAATAACATGTTTCAAAATTTCATGATGTTATCTGAAATGATGTTAACTATTGCAAATTTGTTCAAAAATTTTATTACATATGTTAAAAAGCATTTTAGTTTTTTCCAAGTTCAATAATGTAACACTTCTTTCCTGAATGGCTTTATTGCTATAAAAACTAACAATACAATTACTCAAAAGATCCTCTCTATTAGGACACTCATTCTAAAAATGTGAAAAAGGTGAAATTTTAAATCAGTTATTGTAGATTATTTTGTTAGTTTTTTTTAGTAAAAATTAACTATTCATTGCACACAAATTTTTCTTTTTTTAAAAAATTTAAATATAAAGCATTGTAACAGCGTAAAAGCACGATTGATAATGCACATTTAATGAATACAAGGTTTTTTAAACATATAACAAGGTTTAACATATATAACATATATATATAACATATATACATGTATGTATATATGTTATACATGTATACATGTATACATGTTATATGTATACATGTATACATGTATGTATACATATATAACATATGTAACATATATACATAACATAACATACATAACATAACATATATACATAACATAACATAACATAACATATATACATAACATAATATATGTAACATATATACATGTATGTATATATGTTATACATGTATACATGTATACATGTTATATGTATACATGTATACATGTATGTATACATATATAACATATATACAAGGTTTTTAATAAACATATTTCAAAACTTCATGATGTTATATGAAATCATTATGTAAACTATTGCAAATTTCTTAAAAAATTTTATTACAGCTGATAAAAAGCTCTTTCGTTTTTTTCTAGTTTAGTAATATAACACTCGTTTCCTGAATGGCTTTCTTGCTATTATTACTAACAATACAATTACTCAAAAGATTCTCTCTATTAGGACACTCATTCTAAAAATGTGAAAAGGGTGAAATTTTAAATCAGTTATTTTAGTTCTTCTTTATTACATATGGTTCTGCTGAGATTTGAACTCAGATTCTTGGATTCAGAGTCCAAAGTGCTTACCATTACACTACAGAGTCTTACAGAAGCTTCAGTTAAATTTTATTAATCAAATTATTTATTTCTAAAGACTTTGACTTTGATTACCTCTTAGGGTTTTGATGTCCTCTTATATTATTAGATAAATATAGAGTAATTTCAGATTATTATTATTTTTTTTTAAATTAACTATTCATTGTTGACAATTTTTTTTTTAAAAAAAAAATTATATATAAAGCATTGTAACAGCTTAAAATCACTATTGATAATGCACATTAAATGAATTTAATTTTTTTTTTAATAAAAATGTTTCAAAATTTCATGATGTTATCTGAAATCATGATGTTAACTATTGCAAATTTGTTGAAAAATTTTATTACATATGTTAAAATGCATTTTAGTTTTTCCCAAGTTCAATAATATAACACTTGTTTCCTGAATGAATTTATTGCTATAAAAACTAACAATACAATTACTCAAAAGATCCTGTCTATTAGGACTCACATTCTAAAAATGTGAAAAAGGTGAAATTTTAAATCAGTTATTGTAGATTATTTTGTTTGTTTTTTTTTCTTGTAAAAATTAACTATTCGTTCTAGACGAATTTTTCTTTTTTTTAAAAATTGAAATATAAAGCATTGGAGCAGTGTAAAAGCACGATTGATAATGCACATTTAATGAATTCAAGGTTTTTTAAAATATGCATATTTCAAAACTTCATGATGTTATCTGAAATCATGATGTTAACTATTGCAAATTTGTTGAAAAATTATATTACAGATGATAAAAAGCATTTTAGTTTTTTCCAAGTTTTTTAATATAACACTTGTTTCCTAAATGGCTTTATTGCTACAAAAGTAACAATACAATTACTCAAAATTTCTCTCTATTAGGACACTCATTCTAAAAATGTGAAAAAGGTGAAATTTTAAATCAGTTATTTTAGTTCTTTATTACATATGGTTCTGCTGAGATTTGAACTCAGATTCTTGGATTCAAAGTCCAAAGTGCTAACCATTACACTACAGAGCCTTACAGAAGCTTCAGTTAAATTTTATTAATCAAATTTTTTATTTCTAAAGACTTTGACTTTGATTACCTTTTTTTGGGTTTTGATGTCATCTTATATTATTAGATAAATATAAAGTAATTTTAGATTATTTTGTTCGTTTTTTTTGTAAAAATTAACTATTCGTTGTTAACAAATTTTTCTTCTTTTTAAAAATTTATATATAAACCATTGTAACAGCGTAAAAGCACGATTGATAATGCCATTTAATGAATACAATTTTTTTTAAATAAACATATTTCAAAACTTCATTATCTTATCTGAAATCATGATCTTGACTATTGCAAATTTCTTAAAAAATTTTATTACAGCTGACGAAAAGCACTTTCGTTTTTTTCTAGTTTATAGTAATATAACACTTGTTTCCTGAATGGCTTTCTTGCTATAAATACTAACAATACAATTACTCATAAGATTCTCTCTATTAGGACATTCATTCTAAAAATGTGAAAAGGGTGAAATTTTAAATCAGTTATTTTAGTTCTTCTTTATTACATATGGTTCTGCTGAGATTTGAACTCAGATTCTTGGATTCAAAGTCCAAAGTGCTAACCATTACACTACAGAGCCTTACAGAAGCTTCAGTTAAATTTTATTAATCAAATTTTTTATTTCTAAAGACTTTGACTTTGATTACCTTTTTTTGGGTTTTGATGTCATCTTATATTATTAGATAAATATAGAGTAATTTCAGATTATTATTTTTTTAAATTAACTATTCATTGTTGACGAATTTTTCTTTTTTTAAAAAATTTATATATAAAGCATTGTAACAGCGTAAAATCACTAATTTTAAATAAACATGTTTCAAAATTTCATGATGTTATCTAAAATCATGATGTTAACTATTGCAAATTTGTTGAAAAATTTTTTTACAGATGATAAAAAGCATTTTAGTTTTTTCCAAGTTTAGTAATATAACACGTGTTTCCTGAATGGCTTTATTGCTACAAAACTAACAATACAATTACTCAAAATTTCTCTCTATTAGGACACTCATTCTAAAAATGTGAAAAAGGTGAAATTTTAAATCAGTTATTGTAGATTATTTTATTTGTTTTTTTCTAAAATTAACTATTCGTTGTAGACGAATTTTTCTTTTTTTTAAAAATTTAAATATAAAGCATTGGAACAGTGTAAAAGCACTATTGATAATGCACATTTAATGAATACAAGGTTTCTTAAAATAAACATATTTCAAAACTTCATGATGTTATCTAAAATCATGGTGTTAACTATTGCAAATTTCTTAAAAAATTTTATTACAGCAGATAAAAAGCTCTTTCGTTTTTTTCTAGTTTAGTAATATAACACTCGTTTCCTGAATGGCTTTCTTGCTATAAATACTAACAATACAATTACTCAAAAGATTCTCTCTATTAGGACACTCATTCTAAAAATGTGAAAAGGGTGAAATTTTAAATCAGTTATTTTAGTTCTTCTTTATTACATATGGTTCTGCTGAGATTTGAACTCAGATTCTTGGATTCAGAGTCCAAAGTGCTTACCATTACACTACAGAGCCTTACAGAAGCTTCAGTTAAATTTTATTAATCAAATTATTTATTTCTAAAGACTTTGACTTTGATTACCTCTTAGGGTTTTGATGTCCTCTTATATTATTAGATAAATATAGAGTAATTTCAGATTATTATTATTTTTTTTTAAATTAACTATTCATTGTTGACAAATTTTTTTTTTTAAAAAAAATTTTATATAAAGCATTGTAACAGCTTAAAATCACTATTGATAATGCACATTAAATGAATTTAATTTTTTTTTTAATAAACATGTTTCAAAATTTCATGATGTTATCTGAAATCATGATGTTAACTATTGCAAATTTGTTGAAAAATTTTATTACATATGTTAAAAAGCATTTTAGTTTTTCCCAAGTTCAATAATATAACACTTGTTTCCTGAATGACTTTATTGCTATAAAAACTAACAATACAATTACTCAAAAGATCCTGTCTATTAGGACTCACATTCTAAAAATGTGAAAAAGGTGAAATTTTAAATCAGTTATTGTAGATTATTTTGTTTGTTTTTTTTTTCTTGTAAAAATTAACTATTCGTTCTAGACGAATTTTTCTTTTTTTTAAAAATTGAAATATAAAGCATTGGAGCCGTGTAAAAGCACGATTGATAATGCACATTTAATGAATTCAAGGTTTTTTAAAATATGCATATTTCAAAACTTCATGATGTTATCTGAAATCATGATGTTAACTATTGCAAATTTGTTGAAAAATTATATTACAGATGATAAAAAGCATTTTAGTTTTTTCCAAGTTTTTTAATATAACACTTGTTTCCTAAATGGCTTTATTGCTACAAAAGTAACAATACAATTACTCAAAATTTCTCTCTATTAGGACACTCATTCTAAAAATGTGAAAAAGGTGAAATTTTAAATCAGTTATTTTAGTTCTTTATTACATATGGTTCTGCTGAGATTTGAACTCAGATTCTTGGATTCAAAGTCCAAAGTGCTAACCATTACACTACAGAGCCTTACAGAAGCTTCAGTTAAATTTTATTAATCAAATTTTTTATTTCTAAAGACTTTGACTTTGATTACCTTTTTTTGGGTTTTGATGTCATCTTATATTATTAGATAAATATAAAGTAATTTTAGA